AAAAAAAAAAAAAAAAAAAGACAGCAAACAAAGATTTGCAGCCATCTCAGTCCTCACAGTCATTGACATAGTTGGTGATCAAGAATTCCCATCTCTTCATACAATACCATGTTCTTCAAGGATCTGACTTGGAATGAGCATTGCCTTCAGGAGCACTGTGGACACGTTCCTTTACAGTTTCAGGAGTTAGGAGAGATTCTTGCTTTCTATGCTTTTTATGTTGCCTGTGTGTCTGCTCATTTGTTCTCAGAGTCAGTCATCGTTTGGCATCAATAAGCCAACACAGATTGAGTGCCAACTGCATACCAGGCACTCTGCCAAGAGCTACCCATCGGGTGCTTTCCTTTTTGAGGGCTTGTACTTTAGTGAGAGTGAATCATTAAACCTGACAAAGAAAGTGTTGTTTGAGCAACACATAATAAAGAAACATGAAAATTACTGATTTTGAAAAAGAAGTTGAGAATGTCATTCGGGTTAGCACAAGATGGCAGGGTAAGCTGGGGGACAACTTTAGGTAATGAGACCAGGAAAAGTTTTTCTGAAGACATTCAAACTGAGTCTATAGAGGAGGGAATAGCAAGTACTGAGCCCAGAATCATGGGAGGGAGGCTCTCAGAGCTGCAGGAGAGTGAGTGGGAAGTCAGAGTGTGGTGGCTCTGCCGTGTTTGGACACACAACTATTTCCCTGGAGGGCCATGGGGCATCATGCAAAGGTTCAGAGGCAACAGGAAGTAAACAACAGATGGACTGATGATCTGGGGCTTATGAGAAAAGGTGAAGTAAGATGAGAGACTGATAAAATAATTCATGTGTGATATTTGACTGTGGAATTGTTAGTGATTCTCTGATTCTCAGAGATAGAGACAGCAGGAGGGTAACAGTCTTGTGGAGAGATGAGGAGGTGAAAGGGGGTGAAAAGAGAAAACACACACACACACACCACACACACACACCACACATACACACCCACACACCCACCCACACACACCCCACACACACCCCACAAAACACCCTTAGGTAGTTGACTTTGGTATATTCATGTGAAAGAGTACTATTCAGCCATTAGAAGGACTATCTCTAGGATATATAATTTAAATGGAAAATAAGGTTGTATTAAGCGCTGAGAGTATCTGTTATGACCAACACTATTCTAAATGCTTCCCACATATGGGAATCAATGCTCAGTTTCTCAATGGAAGTGCTCCTATTATTGCCCCATTATAGTTGAAAAAATATTATATATTAAAACACTTGACCAACTTCCAACAACTAAACAGTGGTGGAACCTGGACTCAAGTGAGGGTTGAAACCCAGATCATGTTCTGCTGCTCATGAACTTGCCTCTACCAGCACAGGTATTTCTACATCTGAGTAGC